TAATAATAATAATAATAATAATAATAATAATAATAATAATAATAATAATAATAATAATAGTACCTTGATAAGCAAATAATGTGTAAAATGGTGGAATTTGAGAAACGTTTCAACATGATACATCAGCCTCAGTCGCAGATATTGGTTCGTATTATCGATGATATGTAGAAGGAACCTTGACTAACACCCTAATTATTGGGAAGTAGAGTAATCCCTGACAGTTGGATATGGGCATGTTATGTATATAGGAGAGAAAAGATTTACTGTTAATGACTGTTTCAATGCACGGATGAGAGAAGAAGTGATAATAATAGTGAAAACAGTAGAATGTTGGTAATAATAATAATAATGATAATAATAACAGTAATGATAAATAAATAAATGGTAAAGAAACAGCAACAATAATAATTATACTAGTAATAGGAATGATAATAATAACAATAATATTAACATTAATAATGATAAGCGTGCGAGAGTAGTTTCGATGTATCAGAAGGGGTTAATGAATCGCATCACTTCACTCATTTCATGCCAGATGTTGACGTCTGGTTTTAGTTTCTCGATGAAGATGGCCTCCTTTATTTTTCTTCTTTGTAAATTTTGCTCGTAGACTAAAACTTCATTGTGCGTATTCATACTTTCCCCTTTGTGCTTTCCTCTCATATGTTTTTTCCCGACCATGGTTTTTTCCCGATCCACATGCTTCATATCTGCTAGATGTTGTTTGTATCGTAACATAAATGGTTGGCCGGTCTTACCTATGTAAAAAGATGAGCTTTCACATGTTATTTTGTACACGATTCCTTTTGCTGCGCATGTATCATTACCGTTCCTGCAGATCTGGCATTCTTTCTCCATACTTTTTTTCATACAAGCATTTCATACATGTTTTCTCATACAAGCATTTCTTTGCGAGTTGCTTCTTCAACGATGGTGGTGGTATTGCAACTACATTGACATCATCCTTACACTTTGCGAATATTTTACGGACTTCAATGATGAAATTGTCCGTGACGAATGGTATTTTCAAGACGGGAAGATGTTTAGTGAATCGATTTCGGCTGTAGGTATTCACCATACTTTCATTATAACCATTTTGCTTGGCTACCATCATAGCTTTGTCATACAAATATCGCGTGTGTTCTTCTGAGGACACTTTCAGGGCATTCCTGATGGTATTTTGTAAAATCTGCGTTTTCATATGTTTTGGTCTATTTTCATTTGTTTTCCCAACCATCTTGATTCAAGGTGAACGTCTATTATCAGTAAAAATATATGTGCGGTGGATATGCAGTGGAAACTCAATGTAGTATTTATTACTCAACAACTGGTATTGTTCTTCACAATGACAGCAATTGACCAACTTCGCCTACAATGTCTTCATACAATATTCGATTCACGGTAATCAGCAGTAACGATGAATTCCAATAGTTACACAATATCAATGACTTCCACAATATCACGATGACGATTGACTTATTCCATCGATTATGACTTTACTTGATGTCGACGATAGACCTACCACGTTCCGTCCTTAAATACCTGCGGTTCGCATCCATCCTGTACATTCCTGCAGTATTCTCTTGCTGACCTATACAGTAATAAACCGTAAACAGTTTGACAATATAACGAAATCGTTCTGGTCAATAACATTCTCTTGGAACTGTAGCTATAATTGTTGAACTAAGCAAATTTCGCTTGTAAATAGTCTTTATAGCAGAGGATATGCGTGACCGTCCATCTACTTAAAGACACATTGCCTAACGGACAGTTTGCCTTAGGAACAGTTTACCTATTAGGCGAAATATCCATTCAAAAACCGTAAGTTAGGCAAATTGTTTGTTAAGCAAACTATCCGTTAGGCAAAATATCTTTAGGCAGATTGACTGGGTACCGAGGATATGGTGTATAGAAGCCATTGTGCTGCGGGATTAACTTATTAATTGGAAAATGGTACTCCTGATATTCTTGAATTTTTAACGTGCATGTAGATCAACTGTAAACAGTTTTGCTCATTGTGAAGTCGCCTAGTTACATGATATATCTTCGTAATTTCTGCTATATCTCACAAGAAGCATTGCAATAGAGAATATTATAAATTTGTCGGTATGTAGAAACCATTTTGCCGCTGGGCAATCCAAAGATCACAATTAACTTGAAAATGGTATTCTTGATATTCTTACAGTAGTATGTTACTCATTACCACAGAGATCAACTGTAGAGAGTTTGGCAGCTTAAAAAATCGTTTGCATATGTGACATTCTCTCAGAAATTGATCTATAACTGTGGAATTAGGTAGTTACCGTCAACAACATACGCTATTCTGATAGTAGCGTATCATCGAAATTTAGTTGTGTGTTGAAAACATTATGGTATTGAATAAACCTGAGCATAAGAGTAGCTTAATTTTAAGAACGCCTGATATCCCTTCAGTAGTGTGTTACTGATCAGTACACAGATCAACTCTACACTGTTTTGCAATAGAATGAAATCTCTCAGTTATTTATGATACCTTCAGAAATTTCGTTGTATCTGTTGAACGCTTTTCACCAACAACACAAATGATTTTCTGATAGTAGAAAATCTTATTAAATTAATGGTGTACAGAAAACCATTGCGTTGCTGGGCGAAGCTAACGGAGCATGTGACATGAATGAGATGCTCTCGTTGTTCCATTTTTAGATCGCTTTGTCAAAGAAGTGAATTTTAGTTTTCGGTGTTACGTTGCGAAAGATGGACCATTAGTTTAGAATAAAAATAATGAGCGAATTAATTAGTAAAGAAGCGAGCGAATCTAAGAAATAAATATTCTATTGACACAATGATCGAACGAGTAGTGATAAGAATGGCATATCTGAAACGATCACCACGTTGCTATAAATATTCCTCATATACGCATGTGACAGCATTACCTTGTTACCTTGACTACCTGAAAACGTTCCGTTCATGCTCCTTTGCAGTGTGAGCTTTATTATTATTTTCGTTATTATCATTGCTTATTACTCTATTTATTTATTTACTCGCAAATCTATAATGTTGCTTTGTATTTTATATAAATTTATTCATCAGTGCATATATTCCTTCGTGTCTATGTCGCATAGTTGTACGCTATCACAAGGCTATATCCGCTGAGCGGTGTATTCATCGAATGAATATTAATCCACTACCCTGTTACTTCATAATTTACTGATCACTTGTGATGGCTATACCTAATACTTGTATCTCTACCTGCATCTACCAGATACCTGGATCTTGCTCGACTTTGACCCGTAAATCGTAGATTTAAACTCCGTGCATAACCATAGTATTCTTTTGTACTTTATAAATACTGTTACTGCATCGTTGCCTATAAAAGTACTCATTTGTAAACCATATATTATAAAGCCGTTGTAGAAAATTATGTGCAAATCTCTTCATAAGTCCCATTATGCTTTGCATTTTTCAGATAAGTAAGGATCGTCGAAGCTTTCAGAAAATCATTACTCTGGATTGATTCATTTGTTTGATACTAGACGATGGTCGATACTGAGAGAACTCGTCAATTATTTTCAACACTCATCCAGAAACCTCCTTTAACTGATCACCTTCTTCAACGGCCACCATTCAAATTTATACTCGACATCATCAATGCCACCATTCAAAATACTGGATTTCTTCAGGTAAAATGCTCTTCAGTCTTTTTCCTTCGTTTATTTCCTCGAGATGTAAGCACCAATTTTTTGAAGTTATCTTTCCAACTGCTTTTGACTGCCATTCTAGTAAGCATTCGGATCAGTAATGATTTAGTTAAAATTATGACAACATATCATCATCAGTTTCTCAATAAAATACTGTTCTGAGATGAGCATTGATCTGGGACTGATACAAAATGAATAAACGAAAATGCCGAATACTTTCAGGATACGTTCTCATCTTCAGAACTTGACTCGTCAACAATGAAAGATAAAACGGTGAAAGTGGAATTCTTACAGAAACTAATTGTTGCGTTAAATAATGATGGTTCATTGAAAAGTGTGAAAGCGTCGAAAATTGTCGCTGGAAAAGAGCCTGAATTGACGAATTTAGTAAGTTTCCTTTTGAACACTTCAAAGCAACTTTCTGGCCCTTACTGTTATTGTTGTTGCAATCGACTATTACAGTTGACATTATAATAAATGATTTCAGTTGTTACAGAAGTTGGCAGTAGATGCAATTGCATATCGTAATCAAGATAAAGCTATGCGAGAGGATGAGAATGGAGCAGTGAATAAGCTGAGTAATGGTTCACTTAAAGAACAGAACGAGAGGGCTGTGCCTAAAGAAAACGCTAAGAAACATGCAAAACATCGTGACCGAACTTCTGACAAATCATCTTCTCGTAAGAAAACGGATTCATCGAACAATCAAGACAACAGCATCGCCCATCACAAAAACGTTTTTCATCTTGATTTTCATTCATTTCTTAACGCAGCATTCATCTTTAGGTATATCAGACTCATTTTTAACCTGTCCATGTGCTACTAGCACAACAATGGTTATGCACTCTCAGATTCAATACATTCTCTGCTATTGCTTTACACGTTGTTGGGAAAAACTTCATAGTTCCAGAGATGAATTTTTAATGGTGTCTCATAGAGCTGAGCGATTTCACTATGTCGCCAAAATCTACCACCCTGTTGCTCAATGGTGCACCACACTCGGAGTATGGGGAGCAACAAATTCAAGCTATCTGTACACTAAGCAACACTAGGATTTTTTGCGTCATCGAATTCAACAAATTGTCGAGTGTCAGATCAGAGCAGTGCAATTCTATTGATGTGGATGAATATTCACAGCGTGAACAAAAACACATATTCAATAAGCAAATTCTGCAACTTGTTATTTTAGGAAAGCCATTCTTCATCCAAAAGGCACAGTAATAAGGAAAGAGATAAGGACAGGTCATCGAAGTCGTCAAAAGATAAGGACAAATCGAAGAAGAAGAAGATGACAGAGAAAAGTAGTCATGAGGATGAGCAAGAAAAAATGATTAATGATTTGATTGGAAAACGAAAAAGTTCAGTTGATGAAGGCAATTTTGATGACGATTCTGTTCCTGTGCAAACGAACGCAATGATGAAAGATGCTGGGTCAAATCGTGTTGAGGATGAACCATCTGGTTGCTGTTGACTATTGCTATTTCCATTACTATTTTATAATAATAAAAATAATGTGCTGATAGCAACAACGATATGACAGATCACAAGCAGAAAACATAAATGGCACGGCTTTTCAGGAACAGCAAAAACGGAAGACAGTGGTATAGTTGATGATATGGTTGTGATTAATGAACGAGAATCTTTACCTGTACCAGCAGCCCAAAGGCAGCAAAATAGGTTGCTTGATTGCTTCTTCTAGATGATCACCTTGCCATTCATAATTTTTTCATTCAACAGCGCGGCAAACACAACACATATAGTTTCCTTTACCATTATTATTATAATATACAATGAGCAAATATTCTTCCTTCTTTGACATCTTTCGTTGCTCACACATAACATAATTAGCATACGGGTTTTCATTCTCATGCAATTCTGATCTCGATTATCGACCATACTGGTAATAAAAGAAACGTTGTTATGTACAGGCCAGTGACGTCATCCGGACGACCCCAAACGTCGCTGCAACGACCGGGCACGGCAATGGCTCGACCAGCACCACCGAAACTGAAACGGAAGCAGTTGGCTGAAGTTGACCGAAAAGCAGAGCGGGTTATTTTTATTATTATCGTTAGATTAAAATTGCTTCGTTTGTTTTCTATTTGTTCAAAACGGTGAAATAGTGATGGAGTTTAGTTAATCGAGCCTGTTGTTACAACAGCACTGATACTTGGTGAGCGGAATACGGATGATAATAATAACGACAATGATGATGAGGAAATGATCGTGGAAGCTGATGAGCTGACAGTCGAAAACAACAACAGTGAACATGTTGATATCGATCAAGTTCGTTGGGTTATTCTTATTAGCACTGTGTTGGTTAATGTGATCATTTGCAATTGCTGCAGCTAGTTTGTGATGAGCATGGTGGTCTTGTGAGAAGAATCATCGAAACAAAGAAGGAATTAGATGCTGGAATGATGGCGGAGAATGCTAGTGACATGACGACGAGTATATTCGGTATTTCGAACGATAATGATCGCGAAAGAACCAAAAATGAGGTTCGATTCTACAGCAATCAGCATGTTCATCTTAACCACTTCCGTTGTTTGAGAGCGAACTTGATGGGAGATATTAAAATGATCTGACGTCGTTCTGCGTCCATGTTCTTTTTGTATATTCAAGATGATCCAGTTGTCTTGAAAAATCGCTAATGCTAATGTCATGAAAAATTACATGCTTCATTAATGCTTTGCTAGCTGTTTTTAGGTGAACAAAATGCAGAAGGCTTTACAACAATTAACGCAGACCACCCATCCGTTGGCTAAACTTTTCGATTATGTTCAGGTTTGGAATGATTTTTGTTGGAATGAATGAAGGTTTATCCCAGGATTAAGATAGTTCTATCGTTAAACTGGAGTGGCATAGTATATGCTATGTTGTGTAGTCGGTTTGGAGAGGGCAAACCTGGTAAAATGGATATTTTACTGGATTGATCGAATAGTAAACGATGACGATTGAAGGAAGACGTTGATAGTATGATAAAAGAAATGGATGAGTGGCGATCAGAAACGAAGAAGAATACGATAGAGTTGCGGGAACGAAACGCATCATCGATGAGCAGTGCTGAACGGTTGTTGATGACTTTGAAAGAGCTGGATTCTGAGATAAAACAGATGCGAGCCAATATCGCACACACCAAAGCGAATATCCTTGCCAACGAACAAAAAATTCGAATGCTCATTCAAAATCTTTGATCTTCATAATCCTATCATGATCTCTTTCTTCAGCATGTTTATCTGTCATACGTATTATTCATTTCTCAGTTGGTTGTCAGTTGTATCGTTCCTATAGTTCTGGTTTTAAATCGCTCCTAATAACTTCATATAGTAGCACTTCATTATTACTTTTATATCAACTACAATAATATATTTCAAATTTGATTTTACATTTAAATGATAATAATAATTTGATATATGTAAAAATGCAATGTTGTATTAAACAAAATTACATTTTCAAGTTTTTTTTCATGCGTTCATTTATTCATTCAGCATAAGGAGAATAATAAATGTCTCTCTGTTATCACAACTATCAACTTTATTCGTTGCTTTCATCATACAATGAATATGCAACATTTATAGGTTGAAATTGAGTTTTGGAACAGGCTGTTCACTGCGTACCTTCAGTAGATGCTTCTTGGCTTCTTCAAAATCCATTAGTGCTTTCAGAATACGCCAATGAAGATTAGAATGTAAACTGAAAATTTTGTTCGTTGGAAATTTGTTCAAAATTAAATTAGTGAAAATGATATTTGTAATGAAATACCCGATCCGATTCATCATAGTCCCGTATTTGAGATGTTGCAAATGTGTCGATGAGATGAATTGACGGCTTTGCACGATACAGTCACAGATCACTTCCAGTTGACCACTGCCTTCAGTTGTTAATCCGATGCGTGACCATTTATTATCATTATTACGAAACGAGAATAAGTGATCTGAATTTATCAGATCAGATGCCTGTGCGACGAATCTCTCTTTTAATTTTGCGTGTCTGTTGTTTCTGTCCACTGGTCGCCAACAATTTATCGTCAGATGATGCCTAAATTATTATGACTGTAGTCATTTATTTCTATTATGATCATTATAAATAACAACTCTTGTATTTGTCTACCTGCCAGGTGTAATTGGTAACATCAACATGCCATAGCCATCTACATAATATCGGCCCCAGTCACTCTCCGCACATATCCGAACCAACAATCTGGCTTCTTGATGATGTAGCAGCCAATTCTCATCAGTGCTATTGTTATCATACTCGTTACCAATAAGTTCGGATGGCTTTGTTTCAAGATGTGACGAGAATCGAATGAGATGTGCAAATGATGCAACATCATCCTTAAAAATACAACTAATTCGCTTGTACATACCATTGCGATATGAATCAACAACTCATTCACACCAAATCATAACCTTCTCGTACGTTTTTGTACAACAAATCTGTGTCTTGCCACTAATTATTGTTCTTATCGAATCTTCATACTGTACATCAACACCAGTGTTTACTGCTTCTGTTACTCCTCCATTCCCAGGCGGTAATTCAATCCTGTATTCCACGTATAATCCATCGTGTACAAAATTTAACGCGCGATCTGCAACAAATATCAATTTTTTTGATTATTAATAATTCATTTTTGACTTGTTTGCTGACTTATTTTGATGCATTCATTATTGTTACTATTATTATTTATTTTTATTTATTATTATTATTATCATCATCATAATTACTATCATCCTTATACTTATTATTATCATCGTTATGACTGTTATTACCAATCTGAAGAAGATAATCGATTTTGGTGATGCCTTCATCAGTTATGTCGAACGTATTACTGTTGGTATCTGATCCATCTCCCTTATGCATCCAGTCCTGAATTCACTCTCATCAAATAAAATTATTAATATACTTATATGTTACAATTACCAGATCTTGATCGCGTTCAATCATTGAAAGTTGATCGAATTTAATATCATCGACAGTCACAGTGGCGTTGTAAATTCCATATCTACTTTCTATTCTTATACCAGCATCTAAAACGCCTTTCGGTTCGAAGATTATCATCGTGCCATCTATCGATGTGATTTTACATATTATGTGCTCATCTTTCACATCACATGATTCCCTTTAACATATTATATTATCATGAAGCAATTAATTTATCAATAATTTGCAACGTTAAAGTAATAAAAACAAACCGATGCCTATCCAGTGGTCCTAAGTAAGCCATTATGAACATAGTTTGCATTGAATGAATTATGTTCCTCGATTTTCGCATATGCTCTTTCAATGGTAAGTCAATTATTGCATTTCGAACACTGCAATGAAATGATTTAACAACATAACTAATAATCACTATCGTTATCATACCTACTGGTTGGTGCAATGCGCCGATTACGTGAACTGGTGAATCGTTCTGATATGCTGTTATTATTTTGCTGCATAACTTCGCAATCATTCATTGGTAGCTGGAAAAGAATTGTTATTATTATTTTTCAGATGAACGATTTAATTACCTTGACTGATTGTTGTAATTGTTCACCATCCACGTAAGTGAATATTCTTCGAATTGAATTCGGACTGAAACATGCCAATGTGAACATTGAATTAATAAAAATAAATATCCAATTTTGTTACTGTTTACGAACCTGTTGTTGTTTGTTTGTGGTTCATACGTTCCTGCAATTGCAACTGTGGAGGAACACTGAAATTATTCATCATTAATATAGCACACACTATCATAGATACAACAGACCGGATGTGATAGTTTCTGTTGCCATTTTATTGTTAAGTAAGAAGAGGATGTGCCTCTTAAATCAGTCTTCTTCAGTAATTGTGTCGGAGACGATATCGATGAACGTATGATCGTAGTTATACCACCAACATCCTCTTCTTCATGTTCTAATTCGACGCTTAAATTTTGTTTTTTAATTGCTAATATCAGTAAGAATAACGTTATTATTATCGGCATCCTTATCATGGTTATCATTTGAATCAGTAGCAACCATTGATCAATTTCATGTTCAAATTAGATTTTTGATGAAATTCATTTATTTAATCAGCAGATCCAATTCATGTGCATCTCTGTTAATGTCACATTCTTCCTTATGCACAGCTAACGACGATAGCGCTAGATGCGTGGAAGGAAGACTGCTTACTTGAATTTGATGGATGGAATACTTACTTGAATTGTGCGTTTTTAATGGCAGATGACGTTAGATAAGTTACTGAATTACTGACAGGACTATTATTGTTGCAACTGCAGTCATTCAACATTTAGATTATATCGTGTCTTGGTTTGCTTGGATTTCTGCAGAATATTCCTTTATAAAATATTTTATTAGTAAGAGATTTATATGATATATGCTCATAGTTTTTTTAAAAATAAATTGCAGCATCATTATTATTACTATTCGGAATAATAACGAAATGGTAACAGCAATACAGGTATTAATAATAATAACGATAACAAATAACCATAATAATATCAATAATAATAGTGGTAATCGAAAGACATTGTAAGACTTATTGTAGCACTATGGTGTGACCATAAGTGTGAACTACGAAGTAAAAATAATGACATCACCTCAGCCATCATCTCTATCAGTTTCGTATGGTGGAATAAGCGAAAGCTTGGCAACCAATCTGACTGGTAACCAAGGAAACAAGCTGCTGTGATCGGTTTAGCCCCATAAACCCCTCCCTTTTGTCCAGGGCCTAATCATGAGATAAATAATTTGCTACCAATGGGTCAATTGATTACTGGTACGTCAATGTCAAGAACACATGATATTAGATATGTAATGTAAAATATAATGTATCGTGACACTATGTCTTATAATAAAATTTGAATCAGATAAAAATTTGGATATTCACCTACAATTTTATTTCTACTTTCATATCGTAATTTGTTTATGTTTGTACGCATAAACGAGACACATCTCATTCTATTTACATACTACTCTTGTGGTTACCACCATAATAACAATAGCAAATTTCTTGAGTTGTGTATATTGTGGCTGCTGAATAGTAGTACCAAGAAGTTGAAGTATATAATAATGGTTATAATGATCGTCACCAAATATAATATCTACCAACAAATATTTGTAATCGTATGACTTAAAACTGGAGGAGTCGACTTTCTTTAATGCTAATAATAATAATAATAATAATAATAATAATAATAATAATAATAATAATAATAATAATAATAATAATAATAATAATAATAATAATAATAATAATAACAATGATAATACCATTACAATCTAGTTACGAGCAATATTGCTGATCAAATACGTTTATGTATTTGCTGTAGAACTGTTGAAATGCCCAAAAAATTGTCGTTCATTATTCCTTTATAGTGTCATCCGTATATCTTCTCACTGTTGTCACTAATTCTTCTTAATATCGTATTCGTATGAAATTTCCACCTCGAATATCACTCCAAATCCTGAAAGTTTTGTGAATTTATACTAAGAGAAAAAACCTGAATCCTCACTATCTTTTAAACATCAATTAACCGAAACAAATATCCAATAATCATTGATCCTCTTCAATAAGCAAATTAATTCTATTATGAACTTACATTAATGGCATTACTGTACATTTTCGGCTGCATTTTTTCTACTACTCAGTCATTTAGAATATTTCTTCTGTCACGAGAAATGTTACCCAAATTTATTTTTTGTTGTGTAAACGAGTTTTCATGAAGAGAATTCCAGTTGAATTGATTCAAAAAAAGCATTATGATTTGCGTAGGCTTTTTGTTTGACGAAAGTGTTATGTTCGTTGCAGAAAGTCTGTGCATATCTGTAGTGCTGGTTTGGTATTGCAAATGAGATTGTGCATTAAACGATGGAACCGACCACGACCTCTCCTTCCTGCACCATTCGCGTCGAAAAATTTGTGAATCAATTCAGAAAAGGGTCTGCCAGTAGACTTAATCAAAGTATATAATAATGTATTAACGCATAGACCACCATGTAAGTAAGCAAGTCTGTATCTAATAGCAATTGTCATTTTAATCGGCGAAAATTTCTTCGAATTTTGGTTGACTTGAATGTGCATGCCGAACACCAAAGACATTGTTCGCTGCTGCACATGGCTTCATTTGCTTATTTAATCAGCGATTACAACTGAGCACGAATTTATGTCTCTCTCTTGTCACAAGTGTCATGTCATATTCTTTCTTTCTTGATATCCTTTTTCTCCACGAAACTAGATGTTAGCGCAAGGGATCATGACATTCTTATCTCAATTAGTGAATTGACGATCATAGAGATTGACGGTTATTTTCCCATACCGTTCAGTGAGTTGTGAGGAGTGGAACTCGAAATAAGCTCAAAAATATGACGGACAATGCGTTCAACGATGGCCGAAAGAAGCGTTCAAAACAATGCAGCCTGCTTATCATTCAATAATCGATTTCCCGAATGTTATTCATCTTTGTGTTATGCGTTTTTTGCATGACGAGTCGTCAGTTGAGCAATGCTGCCTAACTTCGCAGTCATTTTCAGTCCATTGTTAAACTCAGATCCTTGTCATTCTTCTTCCTCACATCTTTGTCGAGTTGCAAACATGTTGTGCTAATCAAAACCGCAAGTCTCACAATGCTTGCTGCGAGCTTGTCGTATTCATAACCAATCGCAATTTTATGTGCAATCATTCTCAACGGGTGGCTGACAATTGACCCCTCGACAGGTAGCACCGTGCTAAGTCGGTCATCCAAACTTCATTTCGGTTCACGCATTAAATCGTGCACATGCATTCATACTGCTAAGGTTCGAACCGAAACGAACTTTGTGTGACCGACTACCACGATGCCATCTGTCGCGGGGCCACCTGTCCAGGAGCCAATTATCGTAGACCCTTCTCGACGATGATTTGTAAAGGGTATTATGTTCGGTTTTTGTTACGTGCGCATTGGTAGTTTGTTGAGTTTCACAGGGGAGTGGTTATATGAGGGGGATTTTTGCCATTGTATGGTAAACTTGAGAAGTACTCATTTAGCTTTGATGGGTTTCCACATTTGAGAAGACTTGAAAAAGCTGAATTTTGCGATTACAACTGCAAAATATGAATACCTTTTAATAATTGTAGTTGTAATTGAATGAATGCGGGTAGTCTGACCGTATCATCTGTTCAACGTCAACTCAAAGAAGACTGGGATAATCGTACATACGCTCAGTTGATTGCTGATAACATAAAGCATATTGCCGATTTTTTAAGCAATTTTGGTGAGCGTTCTCTTTTTGTTTCAGTGTTTTACAGATCATTCATTTATTCATTCACGTATTCTTATACTCTGATGTGTGATTTGTTTCATTCCTGTTCTTTTAGAGCTCTCTTGCCGTTGTAAGATAGCCACATTGAACGATAAGCTCAATCTTTTGGAGAGAAAGGTTGAATTTCTGGAAGCAAGAGTAAGTTATTTTGTATTGATTCAACTTAACATCGTTTTGCCATTTTCATCATCACTACATGAAAATTTGCCGACTTTTGTTGATAACGGACGCCACTATGCCATCGCAGATGCTCGTGTGCTCATACGCTTCACACATAAGTCGAAGCATATGCGTTAGCCTCATCACTGAGTTAATCGTAAGTCTAAGCTTAAGCATACTCCTGATTTGATTCGAATTGTATACCTACACATGGGGCAAATGGTAATCTAAGCACATGCGCGCAGTGGCGCCTGTCATCAGCAAAAGTACCGAAAATTGTTATAACCTATCATTGTTATCAACATCGTCATTTCTTTGTTGTGTTATTTTGTATGTGTTTTTCGTTGATTTAGAATTGATGAATTTTCAGCTATCGAAAGGTGAAACGTTAAATTAATAAACTTCTCAGTAAAATGGCTGCTTCATCCCATATTACAAAAATTGCATCTGGTGCCAAAGCAATTGCACGTGAAGTTACGCCAATTGTTTCATCGAATAAAGATCAAGCGCGTGCTTCTGTTTTGGCGGTCTACAAGGAATTGTATGTGGCTACTTCCATTTCTTTTGGATTTATGTACTTTGTGTCAGTCACCGATAGGGTAAGGATGATTTCTTTTAGTCTATTTCATGAGTATGTTATAAGTGTATGGTGTGCATGTGGTAGGTACACGCTGAATTATCTCGTTATCTTTATAATGCAACATAGAACAGCAAGCAGTTGCATCAAAATATCACGTACAATTGATAGTGCAGTCAGCCGTGGTTAGGGCTAGCACGGAAACCAGAATCGCGGGCCCTCGACTTTTGAATCCCGAGTCCGGGATTTAGATTTCGAAAAATCGCGGGGTTTGACACAACAAGCATTTTCTATGATTTGGGTAATATACTCATCTGGAATCACACATTGATCATTCCCAGCTCATTCATATGCAGTAATATTTGTTGTTTGTCATGCAAACCGTGATCACAGGATGAATCACTGTATAGTGGCGCTACCTCAGCTTTTGTTTCTCATAAAACAGTGAACAATAATATCGTGAGATCATCATTCTTGTTTCGTATTTCTCCATAACCGCTGCTTTGTCTTCCATGTACATCAGTATTCTTAAAATGTGTTTTCAAACAGTGCAAGTTCCTTTGAATATTGAATATTGAAAATCCATTCCCTACCAGGAATAATTTCTTTTCAACAAAGACAGTGAAAGCAAAATGATCGTCTACGAAAGGACTATTTGTGCTTTTAAAGTTAGAAAAGTGCAATGTGGTATTCGGCAACGAAAAAAAGCTCCGGAGGTCAGAAGAGAACCACCGATTACCAAATTCCTCAAATCTAATCCTGCACCAACTACTAATCCACTGAATAAAATAGTCGCCAGCCAAGCTTTGCTGCTTTATTGGTATCAATTTTAACACTTGTGACAAGTAAAGTTTTTCAATTCAACGAAACTCCGCCAACTCATTCTTCAAATATTGACAAGAATATGTTAATGGATTACTGTAACAGTAAAATAAGTTGTTATTCAAAATATGAAGGATTCTCTACAGAATGGTGAGAAATTCAGCATGAAGAAAAATATCATGGAACTAACAGTGAATTTATCAATTTATCTCCGGTGGAAGGAGTGAATATGATGATGAATCTGAGTCCACCATGGCAATTGATTCATCTCAGAATGGAAATGAACATAATATGTCTTTCCCAAAGAAAATATAAATGATATTGAATTCCGAAAGGTTATGTTCTGGGGTGACGGTGAACGGTTGTTTTGTCGATCGTTCTGTGCGATCGGCAAAATGTTCGTCATTGTTGCGATGGCTTAATAGATTGTTGTTGGTATTCGGCTGGATTTAACTATGCAAATTATCTATGGCAACAGGCGCTCGTTATTGGTTGGTTGTGGCGTGCTTTATATGCCGATTGCTATGGATCTACTCGGTTACATTAATCGTTTATTACTGATAACGAAAGATTACTGATTCACTACTGATGGCTGTTCCAAACAACTACTCTGAACGATCGTTGGACAAGTGTTCAATCGATCAATCGGAATGTATTTTCGGGCTCTTTCTGAGTCCCTCTCCCTAGAAATAAATGGGCATATGGGAGAGTAGCCCAAAACCTCTGTACTTGCCAAATCAATAATTCAAGTTCGGATTTCATGAAGACAGATGATTCCAAACGCTATTATCGTTAGCTGCGCGGAAAGAAGAATGCCAAGGAAGGAAGAATGTGATATTAGTGATATTGGTAATAACAGAGAGGCATAAACTCGTAATGAATTTGATTTGCTGATTAAATAAATTGAATTCCGAAAATCTCGTAAGTTGTGAAAGAAGCAGTGACGTGAACCTCAGAGTAATCTCTGAAGTGCATTTGTATAAAGAGACGAAAGAAAGAGTCGCGAATATGGAAAATTGTTCAGATCCATTAAAACGATCCCATCGGCGAACAGCGAATATGAACGAGCTTTCTATGCATTTTTTTCTGTACAAAACTAAACGCGATGAGTGATTGAACAGTTAACGCTCTAACGTTTCTTAGAACTTATTTCAAAGTTCATTAAATTGCATTCTTCGATTCTTTTGTTGGTGCGTCAATCTTATTTCCGTTTTTTGTTACAATGTTGATGATCATTTCGATGTACGAATTCTGTTATTTGTAGAATACAGTTCTAATCAGTTTGAAACATTTGCGAATATCAAAAGAAAATTTGTCGAGGAACATGTTTGGTTTCTTTTCATCTCAGATGTAAGCAACGATAATTAATGTTCATCTCAGATGAACATTAATCCATTATAGTTGTTCACAGAAAAAGTTAAGATATTGTCACAAAAATTTAATTATTGGTGTTATACCTGTATTGTATTTGTCTTGTACTTTGGTGATTTTTCCACAGAATTCAAAATGCTACTATTTGTTGAATAATTTGTTTTCTGATTAACTAAGAACGCATTTGTTCACAAAGAATGTGTTGAACACGCGACACTGTTGTATTTTAAAAATTGCTAAATCCTGGAATTAAATTCCAATTTCGAAATTACAAAAATGTTGAGGATTTTGCGAATCCTATTCGCCGGACGAGTCAGTTAGATATCTGAATAATACATAAATAGATATGATTAAGTGAACGAAGAAGGTGCAGCGATGACGATGCGTCACAGCTCTACTCATATCATTTCGTAGACGACTGATTTTTCATGATAATGAGAACGGTGAAGTATGCTATTGATAACACTGTGTATTATTGTATTTTACATAGCTGCTCAATTATACTTTCTTCTATATGTATACGAATTCAAAAAACCACAAATGATTGTTATTGAAAGCGTTTGCTGTTCGACTTATGCATTTGGGTGTTTTAATGTGATGGTATTCATGAATGTTGTGATTGATTGCTTCCTTCTGTTTGTTTCATATATTAATTAGTTCATTAACCGTTTAATCCTCATTCATTTATCATGTTATCATCATCGTCGATTTACACACAATGTTTGTGGGTAAACGAATGTTTTGTTGTTGTTGATGTCGGTTAGTATGGAAAGTAATAAATGCGAAATGAAAAGCGGAGCAAAATGTTGAGTAGGGAAATGGACAAAGAAAGTTTCAGTTTGTTTCGTATTCATCCATCTCTACATATATGTATATATCATTCTGTTTCTATAGATTACTCACTGAAGCTGTTTTTGTCTACGATACGATGTACTTGTGTCATCTGTCCATCTCATCATGCCGATGGAAAGCGATATCGATTCGGCGGACATGTTTGCATGTGAAAATGAAGAGATGATATTTTTGTGTCTTTGTGAAAGTGTGTCATTGAATTGATTTATTTGCTTTCTTGGCTGGCAGTGGTTAGGCTTCTAATTGTTTCATTTCATTTGGTCATCGAGTTTGTTGAAATTTTTCGGGGGAGGAGGAGACGGCAGAGGCTTAAGCTATCTGAGTACTTGAAAGAACTAGGTAAGAACTGTTGAGAGAGTGTTTTTTGATGATAGTAGTAAAAGCCATAAATGGTAATAATAATCAGTGCTTGGATGAAACAGTAGTGCTTGTAAATGAGTTGAGCTGAACAAGAAACTAAACCGAATAAAATGAGATGGAATCAAGAGGAGGCAGTATGGGATGAAAGAAAGAAGACGTGGAATAGAAATAGAAATTTATTATACACAAGAGCTCGTTAAGAAGTGAATGATAGTCTAGAGATGAAGTTAGTAGTAGTGCATCGTGATAAGTGGTATTATTCCATATGCTTGTTTTGTTTATCACATTATTTTATGTTGTTGTCATTTCTGAGACGTTCTGTTTACATGTGGTGTGTGTTGATATGGTGTCGTTTTTTGTCTGTGAATTAATTAATTCGTTTCATTTTTTGTGACTGTATATAAGCCAAAGCAAGTTAAATGGGGTGATGAATGAAAGGATGTGATAGGGTTCGACTGAACTTGTTGTTTGTTTCTTATCGTTATGATGAATAGTGATATTTAAGGCAACGTTTGGCTCCAACATTCTGGTGGGATTATGAATTGCATGATATGCCATTACCGGTATTCCGAGCCGTGCTCAAGAAGCAGTTCACCAGCAACGCACATCTTAATGATGTTCGTGTTATCGATCGTAAAGTAGCCGAATGTAAACAAGTACGTTTGTTGTTACTTAATGAAATATCGAGTTGATTTAAATATTGCGTGCCTATGTTCAATTTTCATTGTCTGTTAAATAACTATTGATGAAGATGAAGGGTAATAGAAAGACGAATGAGTTATTTTGTGTGATCACTGATAGCAAATAAGTTATGGTGGTGGTTGGAATTAGTTATTGTGCAGTGGTGATAATGTTTATTGTTGCATCGTTTGAGTGTGGTCTGAACACGTCAGCTCATAATTACAGCAAGAGCCTCATCTAATCTCAATTACTTCACTCATTCACAAAGCCTGTTATCGTTGTGTTCTTTATTATTATTTATGTGCATCATTATAATCACAATTTGTCATCGCTCTCTTTTGTACCAACTATGTGTTTTTATATAATACTTGTTTGCAGATATGTGTGTGAATAATACATCTTAGGGACGGATATTGATGTGATGAATAATTTAGATTTTATGCAATGAAAACAAGAATTTTGTGGTAAAGATGGAGCTATGAGTGGTTCAAAAAATACTACTACTAATGATAGTAAATTTCAGCATATTGTTGGAATAAAGTATGCGTTCTACAATGGTGATCATATACGCAATTATCTATTCCGCGAGAACGTTGAGGCAAGGCCGAAAGATTTCCTGTCGAAATTTTTGATGGGAAAGGAGTGAAAAAAGTTTTTATTTGAAAGTTGATTGTTTGGTTAGCGATCGTTTCGATAATGGATAGTTTGTATGTTATGGCTTGAGCGGGATTCAGCATTTAGTTCTATCCTTTGTCAGCATATAGTCTTATTATGATTATCATGCTTTTTCCTTCATTATTGGTATTGTTTTGCTGTGCTTTTTTTACTGATAGCATTAGCAAGTGAGTGCTTGAATCACTCAACGAAGAATGGTTGATTGCTTTATCTTAGTGCTAGTAATAATGTTAATTATAATAATTGTTCGTTCTCTTTTATTGTATTATAAATTGTTTTGGTGATCGATTATGGGAAAGTAAAAGCGAAATGCGACGATACTGTCAGTAGTAACAATGATGTCTGTTATATATAAATTAATTAATTGCTTCATTAAATTGAATCTTCCATTCTTCTATTGGTTACTGATATCATTGGTATTTCTTTATCGATTTCGATGAGTCACAAAATAATTGTTATCAATCAGAGATTGTTATCAATTAATTTATTTCAAATATGAAGCATTACTCTTAACTCTCACAACATCGAGTCATCGGTTGATAAAGCAGTAATTATTTGTCCTCACTGAAACGAATCAAATGAGCACAGTTCAAAAATAGCATGCATCATTATATTTGATATTTTTGCTTAGTTTTTTTTGCACTGGAAACAAGACGTAAGGGCATTTCGCTCTTATTATTAATGTATCTAGGAAGTAGATATTTTTCATTTTAATGACGAATTTGCCCTCTTTTTTGGATGAGGGAAGAGAGTGGAAGGAAGTACATCTTCAGACGAGTAGAGGATATTCTAATGAATTTATTTGCAAATGATTTAGTTTAGAGTGTATAATAATTATTTAATCGAAATAGAGTGATCAGTTAACTACCGGTTCGTCTTTTCAAAGCTCTTCTGTCATCGATTCATATGTTGAGAGCGAGCCGGGTTTATCGGACTGGTCGAAAAGAACTGAAAGAAGCAGACAGCGATTGTTTTGATGAAACAGTGTGATGATGATGCTCATCAGATGTCAGAATAATTTGATTGGTTTGATGAATTCGAAGGCGGCAATTACATGTTCCGTGATTGTTAGACGACAACTAGAACTGATTAGAAATTTATCATCTGCAAAATTCTCAAGCACTAAAGTACGGACTACTTGTTGTTTTGGTTGTGGTTATTGCCACAGTTACTCGACCCAGCCTATTCGTAGCAATCCAGTTGCGTCCCGTTGTTTCTCAACTCCCTCGTATATCAGCCACTCTTCCGCATATTCATCATCTTCATCGCTATCGAATTCATCACCACCAGAATGTGGTGCATCCGCGGAATGTCCGCCATCTGATGCCTTCTCATCGTCATTCTCTGAGACCGCATCTTCAGCTACTAGTGCCACTACTAAATCTGCCTCTTCGTCTTCAGTCGATCCAAAAGAACTGCAAAATTTCCAATATTTATCGAAGCAATGGTCAAATGAAAGTGATTCTTTCAAACCACTTCATTCACTGAATCAGTTACGCATTCCATGGATTGTTGAAACAATCAACAAATATTCAAGTTACAACAATGTTCGTTTTTCGTTTATTGATGTGTTTGCTCATTTATTTATTAAATGATTCAGTTTCGTAGTTGCGTCATCCGTTGACCCGCAGATCCATTAAAAAAAGACCCCATTTGTCTATTTTTTAATGTATGTAGGTTCATTTTACCCGTAACGGCTGTTGTATGGCTGGAATTATTGTCGATAGTTGTCTTTCATTCGCTCTTATCCTCTAATATGAAGATGAATGGGGATGGGAATAAGACTGAGAACTAGTTAGACTGATGTTCTGTTTTAAAGAACGGAATCGAGGATCAGCTGAATTTTCATTTTGATTTTTATGGTTGTGATCAAAATTGTCGTTACAGAATGAATGTTATGATTTTGAGTGTGTCAGTTGGTCGCAGTTTGAAATGAATGTTGGAGTGAAAAAAAATTAATTTAAGTTTATGTCATCAAGAAGATTGTTATAGGAGTATGGGGCGAGAGCCGAAAGGAACACGACAAAGACGAATAAGTTAGTGGAGGAAATGCAAGGGGAACTGAATGGCAGTCGCTGTAAGACTAGCAATATAACGTGTGGCAGTAATATGGGGCTAAGGAAAGCGAGCTTGATCGATTCAAAGGATGAGAGCATACGTGTAAGCCATAAGAAGAAGGGTTCATCATCGCTCAGTGGTATGCGTATCGTGGATGTGGGATGTGGTGGTGGTCTGCTATCGATTCCTTTAGCGCGATTGGATGTCGCGCAGTTGTGTGGTATCGATGCATCTGAAGAGGCGATACGCGCTGCACGATGTGCTTTATCTTGTGCTTTTCCTCATCGAGACAACAAGCATTCAGCTGCAAATGCTGAACGCACTCCTCAGAGTGGCATCATGCATGATTTATTATCATTGCATTCCGAGTACAACGACAAGCATGAACTGCGACACGAGTTGAACGACGATGCAACTTCATCGGCGGACATTAACAATGTAAAATTGTTGTGCATGACGGTCGAGAAGTTTGCTCTCGAAAATGCTGAAGGTTCATTTTGTTGTTTTTTTTTCTTTGAAAGTTCGAAAGAATTACCGAAATGAGCTGATATTGTGGAGGGCGTCGGCTGTGATCGATATTTAGAAGAACAGTTAGTGGGCTTTAGCGGTTGAGTGGTTGCTAAGATTGGAAGGTTAAGAAACGAAAACTTCCATGAAACCAAAAAACTCCTATGGCCGAACTCGTGTTGCCTGAAAATATCGATTTTGATGTCACGTATGTTTGAGTGGAAGTAGATTAGAATGAGATAGCGTGAGTGTTAGAGTTTGCAGTTTATAGATATAAAGTGGAAGAAAGAAAGGGAATGAGTGTTGTTGTTTTGATTGTTGTGTTGAAGGTTTTGATGCAGTGATCGCATCCGAAATCATTGAGCATGTGGCAAATATGGACAGTTTCGTTGGTGCTTGCGCTCGGCTGGCAAAACCTGGAGCACCCATTTTCTTTACAACAATCAATAAAACATTAGCGAGTCGATTGTTTGCGGTTTGGTTGGCTGAGGTAGGTAGTGCTGGATGATTGCAGGGCTTACGCTTGTACCAGTATTCATTTGCTTACGTTTCTCCAGGAGGTATTCGGCATTGTTCCGCAAGGTATACACGACTGGACAAAATTTGTTGAACCAGATCGATTGAGGCAGTTGTTAGAAGCAAATGGTTGTGAAGTGCGTTTCTTGCACGGGCTCAGCTATAATCCCTTCACCAATTCGTGGTCATGGACGAATTCAACGGCAATCAATTACGCATTAATGGCCATAAAACGATCTAAGCATAATAATATCCATATCGATTGTGTTTAAACTAATTGTTCGCATTTCTGCAAATCTCTTACTGTCGGTCATTTGCTCATTCCTTAGCTGGGCGACTGTATGGTAAGTTGATCTGTGATTTGTTGATTGATGACCGATTACTTCATTTATTAATCGATTAATCTTATTGAATGGATTAGATCAGCATTAATCATGTACAGATGTATTATGTAATATTTTTAGGATTGTTTTTTTCAAAAAGAATGAGAGTTATCATATTGTTCGTGACAATGGTACGTGTGGGAGTGTGCATTGGAGTTAGTTGATGTATGTTCGTGTATGGATGTAGTAATATATATAAATGTATATATGCAGTTGAATTGATTCAGAGTGAACGCTCACTTATAACGTACAACTAGTGTGTTGGCATAACACAACCCGTGCGATATGATGATGGCGCATCACCTTCATACTCATTGCATGATGACCATTTTCTGTGATACTATAAGTAGTTTTTACTGAATTTTGTTACTAATCACTGCACTAATAATAATCATTATCATAATAATCCAGTGCAACAAATGCAATTAAACCAGTTTGTTGA